GTGGGCGAGGTCTCCGGCAAGGAGACACGGGGCCAGAGGTTGAGCTGATGCGCAGCGTACCGGACCGCAAACGGCCATAGAAAATGGGGAGCAGCCGCATGGATCATGGAGGTACGAGCGACCTCCATGACTAAGCCAATGCGGTGCTCAGCAACCCCATTCTGCTGCGGAGAGGCCGGAAGCATGAACGACTGGAGGATGCCCCCCACCTGACAAAAGTTTCGCAAGAGGTCGGAGAACTCACCACCTCTGTCAGAGTGCAGACGCAGGACGGGAAGGTCCGTGTGGAACCACTCGCGGAGCTGGAGACGTACAGCGCGGATCCAAGGGATCAAAACAGCAGGGACCTCACCCTTGCTGCGCAAGAGGAAGACCGTGGTGTAACGCGAGTAGTCGTCGACAACCAGCAGAAAGTACCGCTCGCGGCCCTGTCCCTGGACGTGGGCTGGGCCCCACACGTCCATGTGGAGAGTCTGCAGGGGAGCAGTCGTCGAGGGAAACGAGGAGGAGTGAGGAGCAGCGCGCTGCCGCCCCTCGACGCAAGGAACGCAGGGCGGGGCAGGCGAGGGTGGGAGGGAAGGAAGAGACCTGGGAAGACCGGTGACCAGGATGCGGGAGTGCATGCCACGAAGGCGTGGCAGGGAGGGGTGACCAAGGCGGTGGTGCCAAAGGAGAGTCTGGTGTTACAGGTGACGGCACTCGCAGGGGGAAGCTACCTGACCTGACGCAGCCACCTGACCAGACGCAGCAACCTGAGGAGGCTCAGTAGTCAGTGTGTACAGACTCGACCCAGGCCGACGGGTAAACGTGGCCAGGTGGCGGCCTATCCGGCAGCACGTGCAGATCGCCACACGCTGGCCTCCAGGGGTAAAGGTATCAACCCACTCATCCTGAAGAGCCGCGGTACTCACCAGGTTCGTCGAGAACGAGGGGAGGTGGAGACCTGACAGTGAGCCGGACGGAACCGCCGGACACGGAAGCACACTGAAGGAACATGCAAGCACTGGACCCCCAGAGGGGTCAGCCAGGGAGACCGCAACCGGTCTAGGGAGCGGTGTGACTGTGGTTCTGTCGCGAAAGAAACAGCGGGAAGCACCTGAGTCAAGCGTGAAGGTGTGCAAGGCCTCAGCAGGCGCAGTACCAGAGAGAGCAGACGCACTAGCACCTAGAGCAGCAGCCTCTATACCTGGGTCGGGCGGCACACACAAGTAGCAGTCACCCTCAGCACTAACAGCCAAAGCATACATGCTAGCAATGATAGCATCAAAGTCAAGAGCAAAGATATCAACACCAGCCCTAAGCAGGTGTGCCCAGCGGGGCATCTCAATCTCCTCGCCCGTCTCAATGCGCCAAGCGTCGTTTAGGCGAGAGAAGCAGCGGTGCTGGGTGTGAGCCTTCCCCACACGTCCGACCAGCGCGGGCACCTGTGCAAATGACGTACGGGCAGCGAGCACTACCTCCACGCTGAGCAAGCCACTCACGAAGCTGCTGGGGCGTGAGGGGTGCACGCTGCTGCTGTTGCTGCTGGCGCTGACCTGCTCCAGCCCGACCACCACCACTGCCGCCACCGCCGCCACCGCCGCCACCGCCGCCACCGCCACTGCCGCCACCGCCGCCACTGCCGCCCCGACCACCACCACTGCCACTCCCGCCGCTGCCGCCACTGCCGCCACAGCCCCCACTCCCACCACCACTCCCACCGCCACCCCCACCTCCACCGCCTCCACCGCCTCCACCACCATTTCCTCCATCACCACCTCCACCACCCTTGCCGCCCTTGCCCTCCGCTGCAACGCTTCGCACTAGGAGCAGAAGCGGCACCGACCTCCTCAGCACCAAGGAAGTCGACAGCAGCAGCAGTAGCAACAGAGGGGGCAAGAGGGGAGGGGGAGCACCCCTCAAAGAAGGGCGTGCGAGAAGCGCCACCAGTAGCACCTACAGCGACTGCAAGCCTCAGCTGCAAGGAGTTGCTTCTCGAGCAGATCGATGGTGAGCTCTGTGGGGTGAAGAGCGAGAAAGTGGTCCCTAACTGTGCGAAGTGAGTCAGGGAGGCGAGTGACAATGAAATAAAGAGTGATGTAAATTGTGGGCTCGTTCTTGGGGAGGAACTCGTCTTGGAGGGCAGCACGGTAGTGAGCTTCAACAGTGCGAAGGTGGGTAATGAGGTCCTCTACAGTGGCAAAGGAGGACAGCTCGGGAAACAGGTAGGGCAGCATAAGGCGGCCGAAAGCTGCTGTGGCAGGGGAGGAATAGCGAGCGACTACAGTGTCGAACAGGGCTTTAGCGGTCTTATGCTGGCCAAAGTGAGCGCGTTTGGTCGTCGGTAGGTGGTTGCAACGGCTAGGCGAGCGGCAGCGTCACGGGAAAGCCACTGTGAGCGAGTCGCACTGTCAGCAGTGTCAGGAGGGGCAGTAGAGGCTCCAAACGTGTGATCAAAGAGGGAAACACCGTCCTTAACATCGCTCAGCAGGTACAGCTGTAAATCATCAAGCCAGGTTTTGAACTGAATCGGACGACCGTCAGGGTCGAACTCGAAAACAGCGAGGGAAACCATAGTGAGCAGTACAGGGCAGAGCGTAAGGCAGGAATGAGGCAGCACGCAGCTGGCAGGACGTGCGTAGGGCAGGGTAGGGCGCGCAGGCAGGGCAGGGCCGGGCGCGCGGGTAGGGCAGAGGCAGCGCGAGGGCTGCAAAGGCTGGGCGCAAGCTGCAAGGGCAGTGTGCGGGGCAGGGCAGAGGCAGCGTGAGGGCTGCTTAAGGTGCGTGCGGGGCAGCAAGGGCGGCGCGCGGGCTGCTGGGGCGCGCGCGGGGCCGGAAACGGCAGTGCTCGGGCCTCAGAGGCAGCGCGCGGGGCAGGAGAAGCGGCGTGCGGGGCCGCCGGGGCGGCGCGCGGGGCAGGAGAAGCAGCGCACGGGCTGCAGGGGTCGCGCGCGGGGCACAAGAAGCGGCGCGCAGGCTGCAGTGGCGGCGCGCGGGGCAGGAAAAGCGGTGCGCGGGCTGCAGGGGCGGCGCGCGGGGCAGGAAAAGCGGCGCGCGGGGCCGCAACGGGCCGCGTGCGATCTGCGCAGGCGGTGCACGGGGCAGTAAGGGCTGCGCGCGGTGCAGCAGAGGCAGCGCGCGGGGCAGGAAAAGCGGCGCGCGAGCTGCAGGGGCGGCACACACGGGCGGTACAGGGCAGGGTAGGGCTTGGGGTAACGCGGTAACCCGTGGGAAACGGTCCTACGGACCTACTTCTCCGATAGCATGTTAAGAATCTAGGCCAAGAATGAATGAATCTAGGAAAAGTTGGGATACAAGTAGAAACCCTAGAAAGTGTTGTACTTCATGTAAGCTACCCCACTACAGCCTACAGACAACCAAGTATTATAGTTTGACAAATTGCTGATGCAGGAGGTGCACGACTCCAACTTTTCCGGGCATTTCAGCGTTGACAACCCATTGAACACCTGCTGCAGCGGAATTACTACTGGCCCGACATGGCGTCGGACGTGCAGCGCTACGTGTCCGCCTGCCCGACCTGCCAAGCAATGAAATCATCACGCCAACGCCCAGCTGGATTGCTACAGCCCCTCGAGCCATCTGAACGACCGTGGCAACATGTGACGATGGACTTCATCACCGGACTACCGGCTAGCGCAAGTGGCAATGATTCGGTGTTGGTCGTCATCGACCGACTAACAAATATGGCGCATTTCGCTCCATGCCGCACGACAATCACAGCCGAAGACACAGCAAAGCTGTTCATCTCAACTGTCGTACGCCTACACGGGTTACCTTCGGCGATCATCAGCGATCGAGATCCGAAATTTACGTCGAAGTTCTGGCAGGAGACATGGGCACAGTACGGGACCCGCGTGCAAATTTCGTCGTCATACCACCCGCAAACCGACGGTCAAACAGAACGGACAAACCAGACCATGGAACTGCCCCGACATCACCAAGTGGGAAGATTCGCTTCCCATGCTGGAGCTTGCGAACAACAGCGCCCCGTCTGCGACGACTAATCACTCGCCGTTTTACCTCAATTACAGGTTAGATCCCGTGGTACCCTCTTCTACGATCCCCGATAATCCGGTACCACGGTCACAACAAATCGTCTCGGAACTACACCCTGCCATCACTCCCTCCCAAACATCCCGTCCAGTAGGAAATACGCATAGCGCGATGGCCTCCTCGGCCCAAACTACCCGCCCTCTAGGCAACGATGCTAGTCAAACCCTAAGCCGCCTAGGCAGGTTCCCCCTATACGACTCAGCCTTGTTTCCAGGTAAGTTTACGCGATCGTTTCTCTTTTCTACAGCTCTCGTTTTTACGTTGTTACTCCCCACCTCGGCTCTACACCAGCAGGATAGCCCCCCACTCCCCGCCCCCTTCTATATTTTGCCACCAATTGGCCACTCCCAACGGATCACTGGCGGACTCCCTCCCACCCTCAACGTGCCACGTCAAATTTCGTTCCAGGTAAGTGCAACCTTCCCCCTTTCCTTCTCCCCTGTGGCATCTCATGCTCACTGCAAATTTCAGCTCCAACCTCAGCGCCAGCTAACCCCAAATTCCCACCCTTTTTTTGTGTGCACTCATCCAATCTCTCTCCACTCCCGCGCAAGCGCTCGGACCCTCGAACGGTCCCGGTTTTCGGGCTGCCAACTAGGCGCCCACTCCCGCCTCTGGCCCTCAATTTACTCGCCACGTCGCCACGCTTCCCGCTGCCTACTCGCTGCCCATGCGTTTCCCGGCACTCCCCTTCCCGTCCGCTCTCCCCCCAACCCTCCCCAACGAGCCCCCATCAGAGCCTCGCCTCCACGGCCTCACGCCCGCCCGCCTCCACCGCGCCTCTGCCTCCCCTCCGTCCTGACGCTCCCTCGTGGGCGCTACCTCGCTCTCGCCCTATTTAATTCACCTCAACCTTCGTCAAACACTCACTTCTGTTCTCCCAATCCCCTACGACTCCTTTACACATTCTTCATTATGGCTGAGCAGGTTTCCAACCCCGATCTCACGATGTCCGCCGCCGAAGAGGAAACTCTCGCTGATTCCGGTGATGATCTCTTGGTCGACGACCTTCCCGAAGGACTAATCGATGACCTCGCGAGCTCCCCTGACCATCCTGCTGCGAAGAAGCCCTGCATAGACTCCGATGCTGGCCCTGCTAGCTTCAACTCCCCCTCCACCTCCGATTCGGCGCTGGCGCAGCCCGCGCGGTCCCCTGTGCTCCTCGCTGCTGCTGCTGCTCCCACATCGCCTCTGCAAAGCCCCGCACCCTCTCTGGCAGCAACTGCTGCCGCCCCCAACGCCCCGGTTCTTCGCGCCGCTGCCTACGCGACGGTCGCCTCCGGCGCTAACCCGGCTCCCGCGCTGCCCGCCTCGCTTTTCGCCTCATCCGCGCCGGGCGGATCCCCCCGCAACCTCCACCGCGCGCGCACTCCCGCGGCCACCCCGATGCTCCTTCCGCTTCGCTTCGCCGCCGCGTGGTAGTCACGCTCCTCCTCCCGGAAGCCGTGTTGGAGTCGCACCGCACGGAAATCCTCGCTGGGATCAACGCGCATCCGTGCGGCTTCATGTTTGACTTGGGCGTCATCCCCCCCTTCGAGCACACCGTCGGCGAACCCCTCCGCGTGGCCCACCACGTATACGGCCGCTTGCTGTTCTCTTGGCCGTCGCAGGAAGATGCCGCGGTTTTTCACAAGCTTTTTCCCCTCTTGCTGAAAATCTCCAACTCCCGCCCCGTCATGCTGAAAGTGTTTGTTGACAGGTTCGAAGCTTTCACCGCAGCAAAGGCAGCTGGCGCTCCCACCCTGTCTATCCGAAACGTCCCCCTCGAGTTCGATCCGGAGGATATCTGCACCTCTCTCCTCGGGTCCACCGAGGAGGACGGCGCGCATTGGCTCGCGGACCTGACTGACTTTCACCGTGCCTCCGACCCCTACAAGGATACCTCTTTCACCTGCCTCAGTCGCCACCCCCGATGATCCGAACTTCGAATGGATCCCATCCGAAATTCTGCTGGAGAGGAACAAGCCAGCTATGCTTCTCAATTTCTCCTGCCACGTGTGCTTGCTGTGCGGTAACAACCATCGCGCATCGGACCACGAGGCTTTTGCTGTCCGCCGCCGCGGGCGCCTCACGAACAAAAGCACGATCTCAATTGCTCAGTCGGCGCAGGCAAACGGTACGAACTCTGTTGCTCTTCCTCTATCCGCAAGTATCCTTCCTTCATGCTGCCATTGTATGCCCTTAGCCTGCCTTCGATGTCCTCCCGTTTGCTCCCCCATTGCCCCCCATCAAGTCACCACTTCCCCCTTGGTCCACCCTCCCCCTACCCCACATCCTCACTACTCCCTTCCACCCCCCGCGCCCACCCACCGCTGTCCCTGTCTCCCTAAGAGCCCCCCTTCCCCACAGCCTTGTTGCCTCCCCCCCCGTACGGCCGCCTGGGTCCCTGCCAACCCCACTTTCAATCTGCCCCTTCCCTCCCCCCTCGCTCCCCTCCTCCCTCTTCCCGCGCCTGCTGCTCCCCCTCACCCAGCCTTCACCCCCGTCATCCACCTCTCCCCTACAGCGCTCCCTCCCCCGGCCCCCCATGTCGTGGGGCTCCCTCTCACTGTCCACCCCTCTCTCCCTGCCCTCTCCAACCCCTGCCGACTAGCCCCCCCTCCAGGACGCTCAGCCCTTGCCTCCATCGTACCCTCCTCTGCCTCCCCTTCAGTTGGGCCTCCGCCCACCCTCATGACTCCCCCTTCAGTTGCCCCCCATCAAGTCACCACTTCCCCCTTGGTCCACTCTCCCCCTACCCCACATCCTCACTACTCCCTTCCACCCCCCGCGCCCACCCCCCGCTGTCCCTCTCTCCCTAAGAGCCCCCCTTCCCCACTGCCTTGTTGCTTCCCCCCCCCGTACGGCCGCCTGGGTCCCTGCCAACCCCACTTTCAATCTGCCCCTTCCCTCCCCCCTCTCTCCCCCCCTCCCTCTTCCCGCGCCTGCTGCTCCCCCTCACCCTGCCTTCACCCCCATCATCCACCTCTCCCCTACAGCGCTCCCTCCCCCGGCCCCCCATGTCGTGGGGCTCCCTCTCACTCTCCACCCCTCTCTCCCTGCCCTCTCCAACCCCTGCCGACAAGCCCCCCCTCCAGGACGCTCAGCCCTTGCCTCCATCGTACCCTCCTCTGCCCCCCCTTCAGTTGGGCCTCCGCCCACCCTCATGTCTCCCCCTTATTCCCACACCCCCCAAGCAATCTCCGCGTCTCGGTGCCGCTGCTTAACCCACGATCCCCCATTTCCTGCCCCTACCCACTCCAACCCCCCCCCCCCCCCCCCCAACCCCCCCCCCCCCCCCCCCCCCCCCCCTTCTGAGGACGGACTCCCGCCCTCCCACGTGCTCACCTCACCCCCCACCTGCACCCTCTCCCTGCTCTCCCCCCCCCTCGCAGACTGCACCTTCTTTCGGAACCCCCTTCCCTGCCCTCTCCCGACATACCCTCCACCTCAGGTGCCTCTCCTCCCACGGTCTCCCCAGAGGACGGCCCCCCTGCCCAACCCCCTGCTGGCATGGAGATGCTCCCTTCCCCCTACCTCACTCCCCCGTTTCAAACGGCACCCTCTCCTGCTCCCCCCACTCCCCGACTCCTCCCCCCCCCCTTCCTCTCTCCCAATCCCCCTCCTCTCCTCCCCCCCTACCCTCAATCCCGCCCTCTCCCCGCCCCCTCACTCTTTTCATCCCCCACTTTCTCAGGGACCCAATTGCAACCGCCCCCAATGCTCTGACCCGGCCGTCCGTCCCCCACCGAGGCTCCCCCCCTCTGCCAATAGCCCCCTCCCCCCGGGCTATTCCACTTTGCTCTATAGCAGGCCGCTCCACCCCCCTCTGGTTTCTTCTCCCCCCCCGCCTGGGCCTCCGATCACTCCCGCCCCTTCCCCGCGCCTTTCCCCCCTCCCTGCACCACCCTCCCCCCGCAGCCAACTAGACCACATGGTACTCCCCCTCTCGGCCCTCACCCTCACCTCCCCCACCTGCCCCACTCCCCCGACTCTCCCTGCCCCCCTTATTCCTGCACCTCCGTCCACCCCCTCGCCCCCCCTGCCCCCCCCCCGCCCCCCAACCGCTCCCTCTCTTGCAGGCAAGCGCCGACCACGTTCCGCAACGACCCCGGCCTCCTCTACATAGGGCTGGACGACTGGGTCGAATCTTGGACATGCGCCCTCTGCGACTTCACCAGTGGCGCTGCACTCGACAGCGCCATGGAGCATATCCAGTCCGACCTGCACGCCACCCGCGTGAAGGCCTCCGCTCACTGCCCGGCTGCCAAGGAAGACTTTGGCCCTTGGCGCGCACTCACCCTGCTGCAGCAGAAGACTCCGGTGGCTACCTTCCTTCGCGGCCGTCCTTAGCGCAGCGGCATGTGTACTTAAGCTATGTTCCGTTGCTAGATCCTTCCTTCTTGTGTCCTCTAGCTGGCACCCATCTAGACCTTGGATTTTCAACCCATGTGCGTACGATCGTTTCTGTCTGGACGAACGTAATGTCGATTTCTTTATCAGTCTTCACTCCAATTCTCCTATCTGCGCAAACTACCAATTACTCCATTTTCAAACCCCACATTGATAACATGTTACCGATCACTTTCGTGAATAAAAAAAACTAGAGCCCAATACCCCTCAACCCCCAGTATAGCACACAATTGCCCAAGCTTCACTGGTATGCTGCACCTCTACACACTACTGCCGCCACCCACCATCTGTCAACCTTCTGGTGTGACATTGGCGTTGTCCGAATATAACCAGCATGCAAGCATAGCCACCACGAACTTCAGTTTGTCCTTGTTGACACCTCTACAGGTACCCACAGCCACCACCAATCTCCTTCCCCCTTGTTTAATCACATTCGCCCGTGGATCCGCGCACCTTTCCGCGCGGTGGGCTCCCATGTGGTAGAATGTTAACGCCCCTACGAGTCCGCTGTCTCAACATCAATGGTATCAATACGCCGGTAAAACGAAACGCTTTGAAGCGCTGGCTCTCCACCTCCCCACCACACACAAACATTCTCATTTTAGTGGACACACGTCTCTCAAAAAACTTACTTAAACTGTCACTCCAACTTTGACCACACTCTTCGGTACACGCACCCACCCTTTGGCCGTCGGGCCAGTGCTGGTACAGCTCTCCCGCCCGCCTCCAGACTGGATCGAATCTACCTCTCCAGTTCATTCTTCGGACTGAACTCCGAAACCTCCTACCTCTGGACCCCAACTGACGTTTCTGACCACTCCTTTGCACCCCTCTGCACCCTCACATTCGACAACCCGACCATGGCACCGCGACCTTGGCGCTTTAGCTCTTCTCTTCTCCACCGGCCCCAAGTCGCTACCATAATCGAATCTCACCTCCCCTCCCTGCCATCACGCCCTTCCCCCGAAGCATGGGACTCCTGGAAACTGGCCGTCACCCTTAGCCTCAAACGGTTCTCGAATGAAGAGCGCAAATGAGTTACCAGCACTATCGACCACCTCGTACAACTTATCAGCCACCTCCAGCTCCAATCCGCCCTCTCCCCCTTGGACCACGACGCGACCACACAGCTCCTCAAAGCCCGCACTCAACTAACAAGATATGAGGCATCTAAAACCACTGAGCTCGCTCTAAAAGCAAAGCTTAAAGTCGAGGGCCATAGGGAGATAGGAACCTCCTCCTTGCTGGCAGGACTCAATTCCTGCATCAAAGACTCATTAATCTCATCGCTCACACTACTAGATGGACAAACCATCTCAGAACTGCGAGCCATGACCGTTGAATGCACCAGATTCTTCCAGTCCCTCTATAGCGGGGCAACCCCAGGCGTGCCAAATCCTGCCTTCTGGACACACATCCCCCCCTCTTCACTCCCTCCCCGACTTCTCAACCATCTGCAAGCCCCCTTCTCCCTTCTGGAAATTAGCAAGGCTTTAAGCCAGCTCTCCCGCGGCAAAACCCCCGGCCCTGACGGCATCCCGGGTGAGCTCCTCCGGCAATATAATACCCGCTTCGCCCCTGCATTTCTCTCACTCTTTTCCTCACCGCACATCTCCGCCAACCTCCCGCCGTCAATGCTGTCAGGCTGCACCGTCCTCATTCCCAAGAGAGGTAGCTGTCAGATTATGTTATTTGTCTAGCCTGCAGTGGGGTGCTCATTAGTGAGTACAACCCCTTAGGGTTTCCTATATGTATCCTGCTGCTTGCTAGTTCATCATCATTCCCATTCTCACTTCTCCAATTCTCCTTCGTATACCCCAAACCCTAGTCCTAGGGCACAACCTACTACCTCCTAGTGTGGGCCTAGGCTACTAAGCCTAGGCCCCACTCCTATTGTTTCTAACATGGTATCTAGAGCGAGCACGTTCCTGCCGCTTACCTCTATGGGCCCACCACCTGCTTCCGCTGCCGTAGTGTCCGCCGCGCGCCCCGTGGTGCGCGGCGGCGAAACCCTAATTTTTCATCCCGCC